TCAGGGCATTTTTTAACTATATAACTGGGGGGGGCCAAAGCCCCCCCAGCCCCCATGGTGGCCCCCCCACTCAACCATTTTGCCCCCCCCCAGTCAAAGTCCCTTTTCTCTAAAATATAAGCAAAACATGGAATTTAGAAGGGAGGTTTGATATTCTAGTAACTGAAATTTGCTTTGTGAATCTTATGTCCTGTCTTTTATGTTTAATAAATACCTTATTAGATTTTAAACATTTCCCAGGCAGTGGATTGCATTTCCCAGACCCTATAGATTTGAGTTGTTGGACAAGTTAGTGACCGCAGGGGGCAACAGGCCCTCAACCAAGTGTTTTATAAGGGGAGGGGGGGGGGGATAATTTTGGCCCCCACAAAAAAAAATTTGATTTCGAAACTAGAAGTATTTGAAATCATATATACATATAATCAAATATCTGTAATCGATATTTTGATAAAATTTCTCGTAATAATCCATCCTGACTCGCGGATATCATAGACTCACAAATCATAATGAACGAATTAATGAAAGGGCCAAACAAAAGACGTATAGAAGACTTTGAAAATGCCATTTCCGATGATTTAGAGACGCAAAATTTTCAAAAATTTTCCGCTTTGCGCCAACCATGGTGGCGCTTCGTGGGAGTCGGGAACTCTAAGTTTATCAAGCTGGCTCCCTAAGTGACGGCCAAGTTGTGGTATCTACATAAACATACTATGCAAGTACTTAACTGAAGGTTCAGTCTATCTACAGCATAATGTAATGCTGTATATCCAAAAATCTGTTTCATAAAATGCAGGGAATTGCAGTCATAGGGGTAGAAAAATACAAAATTTTCTGGGGGAGAAAACCCCATACCCTCTCCAGGGCCGTAGGGTCATTCATTTTTCAAAATCATGCAGACCTTTATTATTTAATCCATGACAAACTGCAAAGAATGAAGATATTACCCATACTTTCTTGCAACTTATCCAATGTATCGTTAATTACATACATCTTCGTCCATTTAGTACTACTGAATTCTAAATTTCCACATACTAAAAACGCTGTTTTTTGACAATCAGAAATCTGTCAAATCTTCCCCAAAGTCCAGGAAATGGCATTTCAGAGACTCTAAATTTAAAAATTTCCTCGGGCCTTTGGCCCTCGCTTTCAGCCCCCCCCCCAAACGAAAAGAGCTTCCTACGGCCCTGCTCTCCCCCCCCACTATTAAATGCGATACCACACCAAACTTTTTGTTACCAACAAACCATCTATGATTGCTCCACGCTCGGTATAGTATGGTCCCTTTTTGTAGATGGCCCCCCCACTGACGAATTCTTAAAAAATGCCCTGTGGCTAGTACGCACAAATGCAACGAGTTTCTTGTCCGCTTCCTCGCGGTCGCTGGTCAATTCTGGTAATAAACTCATTGCATTTGTGCATGCTAGCCAATCGCCACCTAGCTTAACTGCAATGGTACGGTCGCCATCTGGTGATACAGACATAATAACCTTAGCTTGTTCATTGGTCACTATTTGTCGGACACACAGATTCTGATTGACAATGGCAGCGGGAAGAACAGGAAAATCATCGACGTGACGTCAACTGGATTGTCCCTTGGTCACAGATGAGTTATTTTGGGAACGCATGCCTTTTCCGGAAACGATTATGTATCTAGCCTTTTTCGAAAGCAAAAGCAGGCCGTGTGGAAAGCCGTGACCAAGAACACTGCCTTTATCGATCTATTTTCATCCTTGGGTACGGAGGTGACAGCAAGCGAGGAGTTGGTTCGGGGTTTAGAATGGTTCGTCTGTTCTATATACGAGCATCCACGTATCCTCTCAGTCAATGAGGCAAGGAAGAAAGTATTTTGGAACAAGTTCAACAAGAAAAAGATCATTGACCTTTGTCTAATGCCACTATGCCAGTCAAATCTTCATCATCACATCATGAGAGCTAACTATGTCGTGTACATCTTTTGACACGCCGATCAGCTGCTAGTAGAACTCGAGAGCCCCGACGAGCATGGATGGGACGGAGATGGAAGCGTTGTCTGGAGTGACATTTCCTATCCCGGGGAGATTGATGCGCTACTCGCAGGCACGGAGAGTTAGAACAGTTTGTCCTCTGATGATGACTACGAAGATGATTTGTATGTGGAAATTGAAGACACGAGTGAATTTTGAAAAGGAAAGTGCAAGGTTTGTGATCAGAATGTACATGTTTTTTAATGCAATGCATAACATGACCACAATTTAATGGGGCAACAGTATTGCTTTTTATCAAAAAGAGCAGAAATCACTAGCTTTCTTGCTTGTTTAAGTAGGATCTTCCCAATAGTTCCACTAAATCAAGGATATGTGTATCAAAAGGAGGCTAGAGGTTCCAATATATCTGCGTATATAACGATTTTTGAAATTAGCGCACCGAAACTGAGCAAAATCACCAACTTCCTTGGCTATCTAAGGCACATATGTAGGCACCAAAACGAGGCTGAAGGCCTCGGTATTTTGCTGTGTAATGTCGATTTTTGAAATCAGCGCACCGAAATTGACCAAGATCACCAACGACTTTGCCTATCTAAGCTAACTAATGATTTCCATCTATTTGCACCAAAACGAGGCTGCATGCACCAAAACGAGGCTGAAGGCCTCGGTATTTGCCCGTGTAACATCGATTTTTGAAATCAGCGCACCGAAATTGACCAAAATCACTGGTTTCCCTAACTAACTAAGACAACTAACGTGTTCCCTATGTATGCCCCAAAACGAGGCTATATGCATCAAAACGAGGCTGAAGGCCCCGGTATTGGCCCGTATAACATCGATTTTTGAAATCAGCGCCCCAAAATTGACCAAAGTCACATATTCTCATAAATTCCCTGCTCGGGTTACGATACCCCCCTTTCTCCTCCTGGACTAATAGTCCGAGTTGTAAAAATCTGGACGAATTTTGAAAGGAAGTGATTCTCTTATATATACGGCCACGCCTCCTCCTCTTCGAGTTGGTCTATCTTTCCTAACTATGGTAAAATCAGGAATATGTAAGGCCTCATCGGAAATAACTTCCGTAAGCCAGGTTTCAGTAACCATAATTACGTCCGCATTTTGTTGGTTAATTATAATCATCAGTTCGTCTATTTTGTTGAAAAGAGATCTAGCATTAAAAAGCAGTATATTTGGTAAAGTATGTTTAATATTCTGACGACTAGGTCTTGAAATCGGAATATTTACCAAATTATTTCTAGGTGCATTCTGCCTGCAGTTGTGTTTACGTGTATTGGTAATTCGACATGAATATATTGTGTTTACGTGTATTGGTAATTCGACACTATTACTCGTTGTGTCGGGACTTCTGTAAGGGTTTCTCTGAGTTAGACGTACATTAATTGGTTGGGATTTATAATTGCCAGTGTAATCATTTAAAAATAGGGGTAGGGTATGCTCATTAGTGGCCGTAGGAGCTGTCGATTTTGCGGCATCGCGGTCGGTGGGCATCGATACAGACCCATCGGAGTGGGGATTTGTTGGAAACCGGTTCCATGAGTTATATTGAATTTCTGCAGACCCACCTCCACCTGTCTCAATATTGACTTGATGCTTTCCAGCGGTTCTAAAAAAGCCGGACTTTCGTAATAATTGGGATAGTGCCGTTGTTGAAAATGAGTGGTTTTGTGAAAAAAGTCACAGAATAGGGCCTGACACAAAACCTATCTAAAGTGTGGGATTCCCGTCCACCTGGTGGACGGGAAATCTGATTGGTTGATCAGCATCATGAAGGATTTTGATTGGTTGCAAGTTTACATAAACAACAGTTTTAAAAATAGTTCGGTCAAGGCGACAATTAATATAAAGGTCAAACTCACGTACAAATTCTATTATCGATTTTTTCGAATTTCTTTTTCTTTTATGATTTATGGCAGAAAATAAATCAAACAAACAGTATTTTGAAAGGGCTTTATCAAAATCTTGGACGAATTTTGGACACACGACGCCTAAAGAACAGCCAAACTAAGTCATGTATTCGATTAAATTCGAAAGCTTGTTAATTGTTGACAGCCAAGATGTTCTGCCAACTGGCTTCGCCCAAAAGGGTAAGGATAAAACGCGGATACGGACGGACGGATGGCGGACGGACGGACGGACGGACGGGGGGGACAAGCGGATGGACGGGGGGGATCAAATCCGCGTTTTTTAGGAAATGTAATTAAGACTATTATTAATCGTAATAAATTGTTGAAAAAATGATAAAATATTAAATTGTGGAAATGCGGGGTTTTTCGAACCTTTGTAACGCTGAAAATTCTAATTAAATACGTTAGACATCTGCTTAAACTCGGGTCCAATTTCATTTGCGCAAATATCGCGTAATCGAGTGAGTATTTGAACGCGATAAAACAACTCGTACGAAGAAATATTAATACATAAGGTTTACTAACGTACTTGCCAATGTCGTATTTTAACAAAAGTCCAACGGTTTCGTCGGATGTAATCGAGGCGCATTCTTTCTCAATCTGATTAAATTATAAATGTAAACAATACTAAAGTTGAGAGAAATACTCATTACTGTGACAGCACGATTCCGATATAAACCCGCTTTGCCGATGTCAAATGTCCAATTAATTAATATATATGATTTGGTATTAAACTCACAAACAATTAGTTTCCAACTATATACGAAACCAGTAGTTTACAGGCTGTTTACAAACGCTAGGTTACATTAGTTTTTATCTGTACTTCCGCTTAAAAAGGTCAATTTTAAAACAGGGATTGTCTACATCAGCGACATGCATATAATCCCCAAATGCCGAGTCTTATTAAGATGAATTCTTATGAAAATTGCTCTTGCAAAGCACAAAGCTTGCGAAGTACAGGACAATGTGACAATGTCCACTTTGTATATTTGCGCACGGCTATTTAAGGTAATACGACATAGCTTTTGTCAGCATAGACTTTGACATGAAACTTCCTTTCGATCTTTAACTGCCACAGCACGGGTTGTGTTTGTGAGGCAAGCGAAGCCAAATGTCTTTTTTTGGCAGATTGGGGAAAACAAGCCAACCTACTCGCGAAACTGTTCATACGTCAGGATTGCCCAACTATTCGTATAGTTCTTTACTTGAAAAAGACGAAATTGGGGAAGGTGGTTTCGCGGTTGTTTTTACCGCGAAGCTGCCGGACAATGGAGCTAAGATTGTTGTGAAGAAGCTATTAGCGTCTGACAATGAAGCTAGGAAGTCGCTGGTTAAAGAAGCACGACTTCTTAGCAAGTTGCAACACCCGAATGTTGTCAGGTTTGAAGAAGTTTGTCTGGACAAGTACGCTGTGTTGCTTGAATATGTGTATTTTGATTTTACGCCAATCCGCGGAAACGACGGCATCACTGTGCATAGCTTAGCCAATTTCTTGGCAGTTTGCGAACAATCAGATTGCCATGGCATGCATTGCTCGATATTTATTCATTCTTCCTTGGACGTCGCGTTGGGTTTGAAGTATCTGCACGAGAGAGGGATTGCCCACCGTGACCTGAAACCTGAAAATATATTGGTGTCTATTAACCACCATTACAATCGTCTCACAGATACACGAGCAGTCGAATGCATGGCTTCCATTAAGCCACTCATATGTAAGCTGACGGACTTTGGTGAAAGTCGATCAAAAGACATCCACACCGAGCAAATCCTAAAATCGAAGACCGCACGGGTAAACCGAGGTGAGACCGCTTAATTTAATAACAATGTTTGAATCTTGTCGATCTAAAGGCCATGTTATAGGCCAATGGAATTAAATTAAGGTATCAGTTTACCAACACCCGCCCGCGTCTACTTTTGACAGCTGCGTGAAATTTTCATTATTTTATATTTTCTCATTATTTCCATTTCCCCCAATCTTTATAGTGTTTGATAAAGCTATTTTATGCAATACATCAAAATTCACTTAACAGATGCATTCGGAATTGGTTTGAAATAAGTCCACTGTCCACACGTTCTGGAAGTGTCGGGAAAAGCTCATGGTTGCGTTCCAAAAGTATAGTTGTAAACACACCTTTTTTCCACCATCCCTGAAATGAATAATTATTTTTCTTAATTTCGGTAAATAACCTTCGAAAGTTCAGCTGACGGCAAACTGATACCTTGATAATTCCGGCCGTTGGCATAAATACAGCTGGAACACTACCATTTTAGGGTCATTGGTAAAGTGAAACCAAATTTTTTACTCCAATGACTCCCAAAGCCCCGCGACACGTGTCTTGACCACTCGGTCGCGTTTTTGCCATCATGCCTGGTCAAAACCGATAGTGGGAATGAAGATGCATATTTTGCATAAATTGCCTCGTGTAACATGACCTTTAGAGCAAGCAAGTTTATACGAGGGGCAGGACGGAACGTATCATTACAAGTATATTTATTTCATTTATTCCGTGTGATGCCTATAAAATCTTTAAAATTACGATATGTTTTAAGTATACTTGATTTTGAATACGTGCAAGTGTCATATAAAAAATTGATCAAAATTGCCAATATACAAATTTTGCTGGCCCATATCGGTCAACAAAGAAAACTTGCTGAAGCAATATGAGAATTTGCATGTGGTTAGCCAGCGGAATATTGTTGTGGCCTTTTATTGCGCGCTCGTATTGGGGGAAATGGAAATAATGAGAAAATATAAAATAATGAAAATTTCACGCAGCTGTCAAAAGTAGACGCGGGCGGGTGTTGGTAAACTGATACCTTAATTTAATTCCATTGGCCTATAACATGGCCTTTAGATCGACAAGATTCAAACATTGTTATTAAATTAAGCGGTCTCACCTCGGTTTACCCGTGCGGTCTTCGATTTTAGGATTTGCTCGGTGTGGATGTCTTTTGATCTACTTTCACCAAAGTCCGTCAGCTTACATATGAGTGGCTTAATGGAAGCCATGCATTCGACTGCTCGTGTGTCTGTGAGACGATTGTAATGGTGGTTAGACACCAATATATTTTCAGGTTTCAGGTCACGGTGGGCAATCCCTTTCTCGTGCAGATACTTCAAACCCAACGCGACGTCCAAGGAAGAATGAATAAATATCGAGCAATGCATGCCATGGCAATCTGATTGTTCGCAAACTGCCAAGAAATTGGCTAAGCTATGCACAGTGATGCCGTCGTTTCCGCGGATTGGCGTAAAATCAAAATACACATATTCAAGCAACACAGCGTACTTGTCCAGACAAACTCCTTCAAACCTGACAACATTCGGGTGTTGCAACTTGCTAAGAAGTCGTGCTTCTTTAACCAGCGACTTCCTAGCTTCATTGTCAGACGCTAATAGCTTCTTCACAACAATCTTAGCTCCATTGTCCGGCAGCTTCGCGGTAAAAACAACCGCGAAACCACCTTCCCCAATTTCGTCTTTTTCAAGTAAAGAACTATACGAATAGTTGGGCAATCCTGACGTATGAACAGTTTCGCGAGTAGGTTGGCTTGTTTTCCCCAATCTGCCAAAAAAAGACATTTGGCTTCGCTTGCCTCACAAACACAACCCAACAACCGTGCTGTGGCAGTTAAAGATCGAAAGGAAGTTTCATGTCAAAGTCTATGCTGACAAAAGCTATGTCGTATTACCTTAAATAGCCGTGCGCAAATATACAAAGTGGACATTGTCACATTGTCCTGTACTTCGCAAGCTTTGTGCTTTGCAAGAGCAATTTTCATAAGAATTCATCTTAATAAGACTCGGCATTTGGGGATTATATGCATGTCGCTGATGTAGACAATCCCTGTTTTAAAATTGACCTTTTTAAGCGGAAGTACAGATAAAAACTAATGTAACCTAGCGTTTGTAAACAGCCTGTAAACTACTGGTTTCGTATATAGTTGGAAACTAATTGTTTGTGAGTTTAATACCAAATCATATATATTAATTAATTGGACATTTGACATCGGCAAAGCGGGTCTATATCGGAATCGTGCTGTCACAGTAATGAGTATTTCTCTCAACTTTAGTATTGTTTACATTTATAATTTAATCAGATTGAGAAAGAATGCGCCTCGATTACATCCGACGAAACAGTTGGACTTTTGTTAAAATACGACATTGGCAAGTACGTTAGTAAACCTTATGTATTAATATTTCTTCGTACGAGTTGTTTTATCGCGTTCAAATACTCACTCGATTACGCGATATTTGCGCAAATGAAATTGGACCCGAGTTTAAGCAGATGTCTAACGTATTTAATTAGAATTTTCAGCGTTACAAAGGTTCGAAAAACCCCGCATTTCCACAATTTAATATTTTATCATTTTTTCGACAATTTATTACGATTAATAATAGTCTTATAACATTTCCTAAAAAACGCGGATTTGATCCCCCCCCGTCCATCCGCTTGTCCCCCCCGTCCGTCCGTCCGTCCGTCCGCCATCCGTCCGTCCGCCATCCGTCCGTCCGTCCGCCATCCGTCCGTCCGTCCGTATCCGCGTTTTATCCTTACCCTATCATAAATGCTCCGAAAGATACAAAAATGCTTTTATTGTCAGTATTAACCCAACACTTTCAATATAATTTCCATCCTCGTTCCCAGGGCTTCTCGGCTGCATGCGTTGCCGTAAGCCCTGGGACAAGCCGAACCGGAACACCACAAATTCTGGTGTTTTCCGGAAGTAAGCGCGCTCTGCTGCAAGCTAAAAATGCTGACTATGCACTAATTTTTACCGAGGAGTGGAGACGTGTTGGTGAGCAGAAAATATTGGATTTTTGTTTTGTTTCGATGTATTTTCCACCATCAAGGGAATATATACAGACCACCTAATGGAATTATACATATTGGGGGTTTATATTTCGTTATATCGTTAATTAATATTCGTCAAAATACAACCTATTTCGGTCTCGTATTACATGTATCAATTTTCATGTGTGATGTAAACATGATCGAGTCGAAATGTGCTCGAAGTGGCTGCTGTGATTCGAAACATCATGGGTTCTTGTACAGATGAGCTGTTTCAACACGCGCTTGTAAAGTCACTTCAAAGACTGGACAAAGCCGGACTGGAAATTAAAGAGAAGTAATTCGAAGCTTTATCGTCTATCGTATGTATATAAAAGGAACAAAAACATGTGACATGTCTAAACGGCGGTGTGTGTGTGTGTTTACTGGGTTTCAACAACGGCAATAACAATGAATCACCTAACATTTCAAGAAAATATAAATTATAGATAGATGTCATGCATGACCCCATGAGTTTTGGATTTGAATTGCTAGATTTAAATCTATATTATGTATACAAAATCATGCGTGCGTAAATTTGAGCAAAAAAGCACAAGGTGTTTGTTTGGCCATATGCCCATCATGTAGTATGAATCTCGGTATGAATATTGAACACCGTTTTATATAGCACGTTTTAAACGTTATTTCCATGCCGGATAATCCTGAATCCTTCACCGATTACATGCGTGGCAAATGACGAAAAATAATTATGTAAAATAATTAACCTAATATGTCTTTGGCCATGAATGCAACTCACTATGTAGACTTGCCACAAGTAAGTGAAGCGCGCCATAGAAGGGTCTGGAAAGGACTTTGGAAAGTCTACTCACTATGCTGCTTTAAACATCTGACAGTCTATGTGGATGACTGTATGGCCCAATGTATGTTAATTGTTTCAGGGAAATTTTTGTGTTCAGATTAAAGTATAACAATATTTTCTGCATTCCAATATATTTTCTACATGCAAGTGCACATTCTGTTCCAGATAGGGGCCAAATGGGATAGCCAATGATTGGAGGGTAGTGTTAGCAAATTTGACTCCCTTACATAATGTCAAGTTATCACTGGTCAATTTTTAAATTTCTTACAATTTCACATCAGGGAGTTCATTGCCCCCCCCCCCCAATTATCCAGAAGTGTGACTAAGCGTTTCCTAGTATCTATCCAGGTGTCCAATCTAAATCTCCACCACAACAGGATGTATACCCGAGTGATGGTTAGGGAGGTGGGGTTAAAATTCTGATTTATCAATATATTACTACACATTTCCACATTAAAAATATGAAAAGTTTTCCAGTTCAATATATCTATAGCAGGAGGCTTAAACCAGAATTTCAGAATACAAAGCAACTTTTATGCCATTTTTGTAATGGTTTGTTTAAAATCATTTTTATACAGACATGGTAGGGTGTCTCCTGGCTAGAAGCCTGCATATACATATACAAATTTTCAGTTTTGTCAATAATAATAATAATAGTTTATTTTATAATTTCAATTCTTACAAGATTTGCAATAAGTCAACAGAATAAGTATTCTATTCTGAACTGTTGACAGGAAACAGTGTAAATTCATGATCTCTTCCAATATGACACAAGAATTCGAGACCCCCACCTCGGGCATACCAGGGGCATTCACTTAATTTGGTGTGTGAAATTCAGTGAAGTCCCCTGCAGCCAGGACAAAATGGCAAGGTAAATTTCTTCGGTCCTATCATCCCCAGGTATTCAATTGGAATTTTTACTTGAAATTTCCCAAACCATTCCTTTACTGTTCTGTAAAAGCCTTTCCTAGCCGACTGCTTTATTTCAGCATTTATATAGCCGACTGCTTTATTTCAACATTTATATAAAAGACTAAGTGACCCCCTCCCCCATTCATTCCTCGACTTGGACACTGAAAGTAAGTGTCTTCTCTGTTTGCCAAGAAATGATAAACCATTGAATAAGAGGCGATTGTCCTTGCATTCCCCTCTGGTATACCA